TATGAAGAATTCTGACTCTAAGACATATAAGCTCATCATACAAGCTGAAACTTCTCGCTCGACTTAATCAGATTAATTGTTTTTTTCAGGAATTTATTATAGAGACAATTTCTTATTTGTCTTCGTCCAATTCTCGAAGTTCATTAAACGGTTCCCAGTTTTTAATGTATTCTCTTATTTTCTCTATTGCAACTTTAACTTCTGCAAAGTTGAGTGTGTGCAAGTTTCTTGTTTTCCACGCTTGTTGTACGTTCGTACAATCTTCGTCGTTGTATATTAAATCAGCATTAAGGAAGTAGCTTGTATCCCGAACGTAAACTTTGTCACTTAAGCCTTTACCGATTTCACAAGGGTATTTTGAATGTTCAATTTGTTTATGCTATTGAGAGTGGGGTTGAATTTAATCTTGAAAAGAAATAAAGAAATTTGCCTGGAATGTTCGTTAAAAAAAATAATCTCCAAATATTACCTTGTTTCCTATCAAATTAATGTTGATTTTTATTGAAGGATTAAGATCGGTGGTGTTATCTCCGTGTAAAGCTTCGTACATGCACATAAAAGATTTTTTACAGCAAATTTTCAATGCTTCTTCCATTAGATGGTCGAAATTGTTGATGTACTTCAACCATTGACCTGACATCTATAACAGCAATGCATCAAATCCTATACGCATTAAAAACTACTATGAAGTAAATTAGTCCAGGTCCAGATACTGAGAGACTTAGGGCCGGTATTTCAATGTTACCTTATAATCAAGATTTACCTATTATCTATTCACAATCCGATGTCCAAAAGTAAAGGTAAAATGTATCACTTCTCAGTGCTATTTAATAGGAAAAGGTGATAAATTCACCTTTACCTTTGAACTACGGATTGTGAATAGGATATAAGGTCCCCTTAACAATAAGGTGAACTTGAAATCAGTTCATTCAGGTGGCTTAAGATCCACCCTAAATTAAGGGAACTTTGATATACGATGAAACTTGCATTAAAGTTAACTTAGCGTTATTCTGTAATTAAAGTGACATTGAAATACCGGTCCTAAGAGCCGGTATTTCAATGTCACTTTGAGGTAAAGAATAACGTTAAGTCGTCCCTAATACAAGTTTTACCGTATATCAAAGTTCCCTTAATTCAAGGTGGATCTTAAGCCACCTGAATGAACTGATTTCAAGTTCACCTTAACGTTGAGGGTACCTTAGATAAGTCTTGATTTTAAGGTAACATTGAAATACCGGCCCTAATGGCCGTTTCCACCAACTATTTTAGGGGAGCCTTAACGATAAGTATTCCTTAAAATATTACATTTTTAGGGCAAGTATTTCAATGTTACTTTAAAATCAAGACTTACCTAAGGTACCCTTAACGTTAAGGTGAACTTGAAAACCGTTCATTCAGGTGGCTTGAGATCCACCTTGAATAAAGGGAACTTTGATATACAGCGAAACATGTATTAAGGATGACTTAACGATATTCTGTACCTTAAGGTGACATTGAAATACCGGCCCTTACATGGAGAAATGTCAGTTTAAGGAATACTTATCGTTAAGGTTCTCCTAAAATAGTTGGTGTGAACGGCTATTATTGAAGAGAGAAGAAAACAGTAACATGTAAAGAATTGAACAGAACTGAAAACACGTAACTGGTCAAGGAAGCTATTGAGAGTAACATTCGGAATAACATAAAAGAGTGATCAATAATTGAGGGAAAAGCTAGTTGTATAGGTACCGTTACAGGAAATAACCGATTTCAGGCCATTCTAGTTTGGCCTAGGACGGACATACCAAAAGTTCCTATCGTTTGCATATTTCCTAAGACATACTAGTATTGCCTGATAGTTTTCAGAACAAACTAGAATGGCCTGATTAGTGTTAGGAAATATCCGATTTAAACTGTTTCACTGAGAAAATTTGCATCCAGAAGATCAGAAACATTAAAGACACCTGTTTTGTATAGGTAGGTTTAAGGATAAACTATTGCGGCCGATAATTTTCTGTCTATTATCTGTGTTTCAATAAGTTTCTATTAAATTAGGAAAATAAATTTCAGGGTGAAATGGTGGAGCAAAACAAAACTTTTCTTTGAAAGTACTATATTTAAAAGAGATCAAAGTTACTTGTAACTTCAACTAATTTGTACCACAGTTTCTTGTGCATTGACATCTAGTATAATCCTGGATTTGGCCCGAAGAATTTGTTGCTGCCGGTCTCAAAAAAATGATTTTATCTTGAGGAACATCGTCTATTGATATCTTATAAAACTTTGTTTACTTAATAGGTATATCCTATTCACAATCCGTAGTTCAAAGATAAAGGTAAATTTATCACCTTTCTCTATCAAATAGCACTGAAAGGTGATAAATTTCACCTTTAATTTTGCACATCGGATTGTGAATAGATAATTGGTCAAATTCGGATCGAGTGGAATATTGTTTTTAACCAATAGCCGTATCATCGTACGACAAATGTCAAGACTGCTTTATCAAAGATGGGAATCTGAATGATAAAACAGGCCATCACCGCACGCATCTCAGAATGCTATCCCATAGGATAGATGAGACTAGGGCATAATAGACATCCATCATCCATCATCATTAAAAGAAGCTAGAACAACAATCAACCATAAAATTACTGACCATCGAAATTTCTAGATGGAAATTCTTTCAATAAGTCGATTTGAATAGGATATTTCCTAACACTAATCAGGCCATTATAGTTTGTCCTGAAAACTATCAGGCAATACTAAAACGACCTAGGGAATATGCGAAGTTCCTAACAACGCTAGGAATTTTCAGTACATTCTAGGCCAAACTAGAATGACCTTAAATCGGATATTTCCTGTAACATATACACAAAATTAAGAACAACCTGGAAGAAGTGGTTGTATATAACAATATTTATTATAAACTAGGTATATTAAATAGTCAGTCAACCTCATATTTTTCAGTATTTAGTCCAGGACAAGGAGCAAACCACCTAGGAATTCTTTGCCAAAAATGTGGGGAATCTATAGAGGAATGTATGAGAAATTGTGGAAATTTATAGGTTTTAACATTGAGCGTAATATAAAAAAAAAAAACATTTCTTATCACGAGCAATTTTGGTGGTTTTCAGGGAATTTGTAAGAGGCATTTGCAAGAAATTTGTAAGAGGCATTTGCAGGGAATTTGCAAGGAGTTTGGAGGAATTTGCAAGACATTTAAAGAATTCGCGAGAAGTTTAAGGAAGGAATTTGCGAAAAGTTTGATGAATTGTTTCTACGATATTATACCAGAATCCAGAACTGAGTAGACCTAATTTTTGATGGCAACTAATGTGTGGAAGAGGAAAATCCGAGTACTGACCCAGTTTGATCAGCGTATAGTGGCGCGTACTTTTTCGCAAAGTTTGCACTGTTTTGTAATCTTCCACAAAATCTTGAAGCTGAGACAGCAAATTTTAATTTGCAATTCTACAAAATCAAATGTTGTCTCCAGAAAGCGTAGACTTCTACCGAAGGAAGCTATTTTCCTGGGTGTCAGTTGGCTCACTTCTTCTGGTGACAGTGTTGCCCCATTCGCAGAGTAGGTACCTACTCTGCGTCTGAACAGAATCTGCAGAGATCGTCTTCTGCTCCGCCCATTAACCTTAAATGGTATTTTACCAGGCAGCGGCCTGTAAGCAGTCCTACCACCAATCTGATGTCTGGTCTGCTCATGTTTAGGAGCTGTTCAGCTCTTTTTTCTGAAAGGGTAATAAGCCTTTTTGACTGTTTGAGTCCCGGAGTGTGTCTCCAATATGATGACAGTTGGTCTTTCTCCCATTTGTTGAGTTCTTCCATGATGTGGCTTTTCATTAAGCCACAGTAGGGCTCTGGTCCCATGGTAATGTGTTGAGGCCCCTTCTTTTGCAAAGCCAGCTGCTTCTTCGTTTGCTTCTATGACTCGAGCAGTTCAGCATGAAATATTGTGAGATGTTCACCCAATGCCTTGGCGAGCTTGAAGTTAGGGCCGGAAATGCCCAGTCCAGCTCCTTCCATTAGCTTGGATCCATCTGTGTACCACAGAGATGCATTGTTTGCTTGTGGTAATTCTTTATTCTCTCATGATTGGCGGTCGTTTATTACCACTGTGAATGAGATCTCTAAGTCCAATCTGACCATCATGTGGTCACTTAGTTTGCTGGCATTCTTTAGTTTTATCGAATCAAGGATGCCCAGATGTCCCCTCAGATCACCAGGCTTGAACTTGTCTGTTTGGAATAGCCTATGAGCGCTGGTTATTGCCTCCTTTTTCACACATAGGTGAAGTGGGGGCATGTTGAGTAGCGTCTCTAGGGCTGCGGTGGGGCAAGTTGACGTTATTCCTAGACATATATCAACCTTTGTATCTTTTTTAGCTTGATCTGAGCGGTGACTTGCTGGGTTTTGGGCCACCACATCAATGAGGCATAATATGTGACAATGAGCTTTAGTATAGTTTGGTAAATCCAGAATACCATCTTTAGCTTTAGCCCCCATGTTTTGCCAACAATTTTCGACATGACCAGATGGCTGAGGTAGCTCGAGAGCATGTTTTCTCTCTCTCGTGTACCGTTAAGGGTGATGGCTTTCAAATTTAGCTCCCTTCTTCTTGTCAACGGAACAAGGATTGTTTTGTTTGCATTTAGGGATAATCCCTTGCTTTCGCTCCAATCTCTAACGATGTTTAGGGCACTTTGCATTCGGCTTGTCATTACGCCTTCATGTTTGCTCTTGATTAAAATGGCCAGGTGATCTGCATAGCCTATGACCTGGTATCCAGCATTACTATGTCTGGTAAGAATTTTGTCTACCACCAGTGTCCATAACAGTGGAAAAAGAACACCTCCTTCTTGTTCGAATGATAGCTAATTCAAAAACTTTGCCCAAATTAACCCAAACCCCTATACATTACCCATTTTGATTTAAGTTTAATATTTCTAATAACCTTGTTCTAACCCACAATAATTATTCAACTGAATTCTTTTCTAAATTGATTCCAGAGGTTCATCAGCTTCAGATTCCACATCGATCGATTCCAGTGACGAAGACGAAGACCGTCCCATAGTACGTAAAGTCTACAATGTTACAGGGTCTCCCAACGATCGCGAAAGTGACGATGCGTTGCCCAGCAGCAACGTTTCAACCGACAACGAAGACGAAATCGATCGAAAATCATCCGCAGATGAAAAAGAACGCGAGGAAGAAGAAGAAACATCTTCCGGATCGGCCGATACTGACAGTAACGATACCGGAACGGTCGCGGATCAGAAACCAAAACGGTTTTCTCGAGTGTTTGTGGTGAATCATAAAGGCTCATCTAGTGGTAGTGTTTCGTCTTCAAGTGGCGACTCTGATTCGTCTGATAATGATACTGATACTGAACTAGTTGTTTTAACGAATGTTAAGCAACTTAATGCAGAAATTGATATTGAGGAGGATCAAGTGACTCAGGAAAATGAAGGTGGAGCCAGTTTTTTGAGTATGAAATATATTGGTGAAGATGTTTATGATGCAACTAGTAGGCAAAATAATAAATCAAAAGCTAGGCGTAAAATTAGAAGAAAATCTGAACCAGGTGGTTCAAAAAGCAAAAACGTTGAAGAAACTGGCTGTGATAAAGTATTTGAAGAAGAAAACCCTTTGCAAGTTCCTTGGATTAATACCAAAGATAAATTAGAACCAACTGATGAAAATATTTACAAATTTATTGAAGCTGAAATAGAGTTTTCTTCTTTATTATTAATTAATCATAGCTCATCAAAAGTTGAACGATTAGACTGTGATAATGATACTGAAGTATCTGAAGCTGTAATGGATTTTACAAATGACGTTGAAGACGATTTGATTGTTGAAAAATCAGTGAATCTATCAACAATATTAGACGAAACTGACAAATATAAATTAGATTACGTGTACTCATCAAGTCCGGGCCTGTCGGATGTGAGTGCAGAGTCTTTGAGCTCTAGCGACGTGGAAAAAGAGAACGAAACAAAGAACGAGACTCATTCAAACGTAAAAGTAGAAAGGCAGAGGGAGAAACACCATGAACAGGACGAGGACAATCGAATCAGTGAAACAACAAGCGCGAGCGAGACGGATATTGTGCAAAGCGCGTGCCGTAATCATACAGGTGTTTCACCGTCAGTAATCGAGGAACAACCGCATAGTAATCAACGGAATGGTGCGGGCGCGAAATATACGAGTCTAGTGATGATCACAAGTGATGCGAGTTATCAACAAGTGAATATAGTGACGTCGGATACGACCAAAGTGGTACCGGGAGAGGATTTGCCGCAAGTGGTGGTGGTCAGCCACACCAATAGGCAGAATGAGGCATTGATGGATAAAGGCAGGGATGATGGTAAGTGACCTTGATGTTTTTTTGGTATGCACGGATGAATAATTGGAAAGCGCTTCAATGATGCATTGATATAAATTTTCTCGTTAGGTTTTATTGTATGTGTGTGAATATGTATGAACAACAACCGCAAAAAATGAAAATAAACATTTGCCATTGACAAATTTAAATAAATATTCAAATAAAAACTATTTATTTTAATGCTGCTTGTGAGTTCAAGGTGTCTACTTTGAAAAACCTTGCAGGAAAATATTGTTTTTTGATTGCTTACGAAGTGAGCTCAAGATTGTTTCGATAGGAAAATTGTTGAGTAGGTAGGTACCAAAAGTCTCAATCTCTACCTTATGATTTAGATTTTTGTAAAGTTTTAAGAGATCATAATTTTTTCTACTAGAGATAGGAAGCTGAAAATTACAACTCATTTGAACTTATAGTTCCTGAGATAAAATCGTGTTAAGCAATTTGGGGTGATTTAATAATTTTTCTGAGTGCCTTTTTTCATAGATTTCGGCTTCAAATTTGAGAATAATTTAGTTTATGGAGTTCAGGGGATCACGAAAGACCATTTGGACACAAAATCTCAACAAAAAAAATGTTGAAATTTCATCGTTTTAGTAAGAAGGTAGCTACCTTATGATTTAGATTTTGGAAAACTTTGAAAGGTCATAACTTTTTTAGTATAAGAGATAAAAAGCTGAAATTTTCAGCGATTCTTGTCCCGCTGGCGGGCTAGAATCCCTGAAAATTTCAACTCATTTGGACTTATAGTTCTTGAGATAAAATCGTGTTAAGCAATTTGTGGTTTGGAAATACTATACATAATAGTTTCAGATTTATATACATACATATTTGTTTCATTATTACATAAAATGTCATAGTATTGTCACGGCTTTTGGGTGCGTGACAGAAATTTTGGGTCCTTTTATTCCAAAATCAAAGTCCAATTAATACAGCAATAATTTGTTTCGCATTAATACACACTCTGACACTAATTATTACTCCACTAATTAACTGAAACAACTTAGTAACTCTTCACAACTCTTACAATATTCACTATTTAAATCATATCATAGCCAAACTTAAACTTAAAAACTACTAACTTATATCGGCAATTATATATCTGTGATCCATTCTTGTAAAATCCAGAATAAACGCGATCATCTCTTTGCCCACAACAAAGCAGTATTTTCTGGATAACAGATTAGATATAGAATACCTGTAAAAAAGCCTCTCATAGCAAATGGTGTTGAAAGAAGACGAAACAAGTCAAAGAAAGGTCTTTTATATGAAATTTCAGTTTAAGAAAATGGGAAATATCTCAAGAAAAGCATCTCATAGCAAACTCTAAGTTGTGAGATCAAAAATCAAGTTGAGAAAAGGCTCTAATGGAAAGTTCTGAGAGAGAATGGGTAACAGCTATAGGAATCTCAAATTTTAAAGTCAGACAATAAAAAACAACTTTAAAAGTAGCAAACAAGTTGAGAGAATGTGAAACAATTCAAGAAATGCATCTCAGAGAAAATCCTTACTTAAAAAAAATGGGAAGTGACTTTATAGCAAACTATAAATTGAGAAAATGAGAATCCAGTCTAAAAGTCTCTTTAATAGAAAACTTTGGCTTGAGAGAAAGGGTTACAATACTAGTGATAGTTAATTTTGACTTGAGACATCATGGAAAAACACCTATAAAACTTGCTCACATCAAAGTCTGAGTAGTTGAGAGGATCTGAAACAATAATTCAAGAAATACCTCTCACAGAAAATTCCAGTTTAGGAATTTTTTCTAGGACAGATAATCTCCCTTTGTAGAAATCTTCTTGTAATTCCATAGATCTCCAAGAATATTTTTGGATCTTCAGGCATATCCTTGCATCTCCATGAAGATCTTTTGGATTTCCATGTATCTCGCGTCCGGACCTCCATATACATTAATAATCATGGTACCAGTTAAAATGATGTGCGCATGCAATCACACTTTTCCGATTTTATAGTACTGCAGCCGAACTTGTAGACAGACCCTATTTTGAGCAGACAGATAGCTTTAAGACTGCCTATATCTTTCCTCTAGGAGTTGGATAGTTTCGATGAATTCTGGCGGTTGATAGTTCAACGATAGATAGATAGACAGACAGACAGACAGGACTATGACAGATCTTGTAGTAGACAGACCCTACTTGGAAGCAGACCACTGGAGATTGACTGGAGCAAACAGCTTTTAGACTGACCCGTTTACCGGTAAACAGCAACCGGATGCATTTATCCATTCCGTACATGTATATGGCATCTAGCACAATCCCATTGGTCAGATTTAAAATTTAAACCAATTAAACTTCGAGTGCCATACGCTCGTACGGAATGTAAATCAGTGCCATATGCACTTACGGATTGTAATATAGTTATGCGTTATGCGCACGCAAAATCACGTCTCCAGCAGCCAAATATCCTGTTTCATTTTTGTGATTATTGTGATTGCCGGGCTTATAAAGGTAGGTTAATACTTCTATGGGGTTTGACGTTGCGTCCTCTCTTTCGATTTTTTTAGAAATTCCTGCGTTTTTATTGTCATCAAATTTCATCGATGGATCCACCATTCTATGGCCGTCATTGTCATTTTCCATGCACTAAACAAAGATAGGTGAAGTCACCGATGGGAATAAAAACGAGGGGAAATATTTTGAACAAGAAATTGTCAGTTCGCCGACGTTATTTTATTAATCAGATCTCTTGTGTTTATTTGGGTGCTTGAAATCACCATGCATGCTGCGACAACGTTGCTACCTTTGAATTATAAATATTTTGAACAGAGTTCTGGAAAATATAGAGCGAACCTAATGACTGAAAATGACGCTAGACGATGGGTGGAAGAATTTGTCTATGATTATATTATTCAATAAACATATCAACGCTTTTCGCTTTCGGTCTGATATCTACTCTATGTATATTTTCTTTGCTCGCCGAAACTTAGATTAATACACCGTTTGTTTGTAATGTGTTTATAATACCTGCCTAAGTAATTATTACATTCGAAATTCCGTTAAAAAATCAATACGCCATACTAGCACTTAATTTGGGATAAGTACAGTATTTACTGCAGTTTAAAATATAGATACAGTTGAAGAATAATTGAGGATTATTAACTCGTTTTCAGCTTAACAAAACTTTCTGCTGTAATAACTAGGTATGACATTACGTAAGTGTATATGGCACTGATTTACATTCCGTACACGCGTATGGCATTCGAAGTTTAATTGGTTTAAATTTTAAATCTGACCAATGGGATTGTGCTAGGTGCCATATACATATACGGAATGAATAAATGCGAACCGGATCATCAGCTGATGTATTTTTTCTTTTTGCAACCGTGTTTATTTAAGAAAGATATAAAACAAAGAGTTTTCCAAAAAGGCCTATTGTGACCATTGATTGTGACACACAATCTAAATATACTTATTATAGACATAAATTTGGAATGTCGTGATCCGAGTATAAACAATTATTATTATTTATTTAATAATTAAATTATCACAAAATCCACATAGACTGGATTCTGGAATTGGGAGATTATTATCCCTAGAGCCAAACTGTTGAACCTTTATATATTTCCACCGAATCTCTATTGGATCTCCACAAATCGCCGCTAGATATCCATTTATCATACCCCAAACATGGAAAAAGGCCAGAATGGTCTTTATACCAAAACCTGGGAAAGACTTTTCCCAGAAAAAGCGTTTAGACCAATTACACTATCATCCTTTATTATTAAGACGATTGAAAAACTCATTGCTAAACATGTCAGGGAAACTTCTCTTGAAGAAAAGCCACTACACCAAAACCAACATGCCTATATCAATTGGGTAAATCTTGCGGAACGACCCTATACACCAACTGGTGGCAAGAATAGAGCTCACAAATTGACCTTTTGTTTGGACGCCATATTGCGGTGCACGAACATAGTTGCCAAAAAAAGAAAACAAAAATTACTAGCGGGCTGTCAACATTAAAAACAAAAGTAACTAAATGATTGATCCTCGCTATCCTTTTTGTTTGTTTACTTTCTCTCCTTGATTGATAAAAGTAAATAGGTAGATATTTTATTATTTCTATTCTGCCCAATTAGGCAATCCAACGACCTGTCCAAATGGCGTCTGGTTGGCAAACAAAAAACATATGTTTTTTTTTTGGCAGGATTAAGCCTAGTACTCATAACAGCGAAATTCGCTCTTTTTTGACATTGCTTCGACAATTTGACGTTTTATGCGTGAATCAAACGTCAAATTGTCGAAGCAATGTCAAAAAAGAGCGAATTTCGCGATTATGAGTCCTACTAGGCTCAATCAATACACGCGGGGCGAGTACTCAAATCTGACACTTTTCTGACATCGATGACATGTAACAACCCGTATTCTAACTTCATAAAAATTTCAAAATGGCGGCTGTTTGACAAAAGCTGGTTGGCAAAAGTCACGTGGTTTGGATTCCCTAATACAAACTAAAATTGATGGCTTTTCTTTCTTTTGGCAACTATGGTGTCCAAACAAAAGGTCAATTGGTCGTAGACGAACTCCTAGTAGACCTTAATAACAGATCTATTTATAACCAGGGTTACTCAAATGATGTAGTAACCAGTCATGGGCATAGTCATGCGAAAATGCAAAGAGCGCTTAAAATCGTGGAACACTGGGTTAAAGGAGTAAATCTGAGCAGTGGCGTAACTTCAAATTTTTAATTTTTCTTCATACAGGGTGTCCGTTTTAAGTAATACCACTATTGCTATCTCCGAAACGATAAGAGGGTGAGGTCGGTTAAATTAGATAAGATTTTAGTATTCATTGAAGGTAAGTTCACAGGGTTGCCAAATCTTGTTCGTTTCCGAGATATAAGGGAGAATATAGAAAACATTTGAAACTTTTTTATTAATTAGTAGCTGGGATCATCGGCTTTTAATAATTATTCCAATATTTATTAACTTTAGAAAAAAGTGTCCAATACAAAAGTTTCCAGAT